GCAAAGGTCTGGGTAGTACTGTATACAAACACAGTAACTGGCCACTGTAACTGAGAGTTGGCTATATGAGACAAAATATCTGTGACTACATTCAAGATATGCACTGAATTTTGTTAGATATTATTCTTCCTAGAATTGTATTTAGGGAAGGAACATAGAAATTGATAGTGATTTATGGAGAACATGCATATTCAGGATTTGATTAATTCATTTATTCATCTATTCATTTCTTTACAGGTCAGGTCTCTGGGACCAGTATTTAGGCATGAAATTTACCAGTTCAGGATAAATGTTGAAGCTTCCCTTTCCTCCTTAATACTGTCAAGTCATAGCTTAATTAGAATTTTGAAGAAGCAAGTTCTGGAGGCTTAAGGTTTTGGCTAAAGCAATTTTTCAGACAGTACCAGATTAACTAGATATATATGATGTGTTACTCAAAATATATAGCTAAATCAACGTCTTAAAGACAAAGAGATTGATATATCAATTAATTGTTACATATATGAAAATTATCTGAAAAATTTTATAAAATTTAAATAATTTTCCTCACGTTTTAAAAAATAAGACATATAGCTTGGGATACATTCAAGTACTAAATGTAGCAAGTATAACCTTCACAATACTAAGCCACGATTCACAACCAGCATGAATTAAGAGTTTACACTTGTGAAAAAAAAAAGCTATCAAAAGAAGCTATTTTCTATCATCAGAATGGCAAACTAACCTTCATGCTATAGAAGGAACATATGAGGAAAAATTATGTGCACTCTACATTTAGGCATGTATGGATGTTTAAAATCTATTATTTGCTCAAGCTCTTCCATCAGTACTCAGTTAAGACTTAACTCAGATCTTCTGGGTATGAAGAGGACATAGGCTTTGAAATCAAAGGCAACCATGTTGGGATATCTGCTAGAGTACTAGCTAATCATGTGACCTCAGCAAGTTTCTTTAATCCACAACACTTTCATATGAGGAAACAGTAAAACGGAAATAATGCATATCACCACAACATAAAATGATGTGAAGACAAAGCGATGTATTATATGTCAAGTACTAATGTAATGTTGTATTATTCTAAACATGAAAAAATTTTACTAGTGTTTCCTGTATATAAAAAATATCCTTTTTTATATGTCATTTTCTTTTAGAAATCTGGTTTTTTGCATTACTTATTTTTCAAGTTGTTAGTATAACATATGTAGTTATATTTTCAACTTTGTTCACATAGCATTATATTGTAACAATTGCTTAAGGTGCTACAGTATTCAGTCATCTTAATTCAGAAAAATCCATAGAATTGATACCCAACAATTGCCTATATTATTACCTATAGTTAAACATTTGTTCTATTAGTAGATCTACATATATCTGTATATTTAGCACCTTTATTTCTAATGTTTTTTTTCATATTTTAGATGTTTCCCTCAGTACAAATTTCCAAAAGTCACAGAATACTGTGATAAGCTTACAGTTCTTAGCTTTATAACTTATTAGTGTATGATGTTGAATAAGTTAATTACCCTCTGTATATCTGTTTTCTCATGTATAAAAAGGAAATGATAATAATAAGTTCATGTATATATATAATAATTAAACCAGCATCTTGTACATAATAAGTGCTATATAAATATATCTAAATATTTGTTAAAAGGTTTAATGGTATTTAAAGCTATGTATTTCCAAAATGATTATTACAAATTACTGCCAACAGCCATTTTAATTTCATTTTCCTTTTAAACATAGCATGCATTTTATAATTTCTAATGTGTTATTTTAATACAGATAAAATTGTTATAATTATTAGACTTAATTGTTTGTATAATTCACATATAAAATCCATTAAGGTAGAGACTTTAATTTACCTGCTTCTGACTAACCAGCACAAGAGAACAACTAGCACATAGGTAAATACCTGTAGAGAGTACAAATGATTGTGGATTTCCCAGCTCTATCTAGGGCTTGAAGGCAGAAATACCTGATTTTGTAAATCAGCTAAAGATGCAATTAAAGGGAAGAAAGGGCTATATGTTTTGTTCTAGAAAAGCCATGACAAATAAGCCAATTTAGATATAATAGGTTATGGGCTCTTGTTCTGAAAACCAATCTTTAATTTTTTAAAAAGTGATTTATTTTCTATCAAAGTCTAGTTTTTCTTTTTAATTGCAACTTTACAAAATTGGGAAAACAGGGAAAGTGTTTACATTTTTTAATTCATTGGCTGTATCAAAGTATTATATATGTTTCTTGCATATTTGTTGACCACTACTGATGATTATATATTTATTATTTACCATATATCTAGGTAAACCAGTTATGATTGTTACAGAATACATGGAAAATGGTTCCTTGGACAGTTTCTTACGCGTAAGTAGAAGATTTTGTATACATACGTAGATCTCTTATCTCTCTCTATCTATGCATGCATATATAAATATGGAATAAATTACTAAAAATGATGTTGGAGACAGCCTCTGATATTTTGCCAGACAATTAGGTAATCAAAGGTTAAAGTAAAACTAAAATTTTCTGGGACTAAGTAGCAAGAGGAAGACTGTAAATTTGAATCTTTGTCTTGAAGCATCTAAATGTAAATGGTTTATATTTTTAAAACAAATTTGTGCAATTGTCTTCAGCTTTTTTGTAGTGCCAGGACTCACAATTGTCTTCAGCTTTTTTGTAGTGCCAGGACTCACATAGTGCCAGGACTCACAATAATCAAAAAAATAGTCCTAAAGTAAGACATACATAACATTGATGTAGGAAAGATTCTCTTTTCTTTATATAAAGTAACCTCAACTACTATAAGATAGAAGACCATCTCACCTCGTGCCATCCACTCAGATAGTAAGCTTGTGCTATAATGCCAAAGTATTCTCAATTCAGATATATCATTTTAGAACAAATATGTTCAGAAACATACAAAAAGTTTATAGAGTATGAGACATGGCCAATCACCAATCACTGCAAGGAATAAAAAAATATATTGACCCTGTCCTCAAGGTGCTTTCAGCACTATGTAAGTAGAAATATATAGATAGATAGGTAGGTAGATAGGTAGGTAGGTAGGTAAGTAGGTAGGTAGGTAGATAGATAGATAGATAGATAGATAGATAGATAGATAGATAGATATAGAGGTAGATAGATATAGAAGGAGATCGATATATAGATATGTATAGCTTAAACAGTTTGGAATGTAATAATATGGAATAAGTGTTAGATAGATAGATAGATAGATAGATAGGTAGGCGATAGATAGGTAGATAGATAGATACTACAATTCATTATCATGGAAGAAAATTCTAAATTTTATATGAATGAAAATTGATATTCTTAATTTTAATATTCATGAGTCCATTATAAATTTTATTAGCAATTATTTTCACAAACATATTTCAGAAACATTTTCCATATTAGATAATTAAAACAATAATACTATATATTTTTAAAGTAGTTTGCATAGATATAACTACATATGAAATTTTAAATTTTTCTATTTATATATGTATGTATCTATCTATCCATCTATTTGCTTATCTATCATATGAACCATATGTTTTTATTTTAATCCAAGTAGTGGAAGCTTTTTCTAAATCCAGGACTCTAATTTTATCTCCTGTTTCTATTTTGTGACCCATAACTCAGGGTTGTATAGAAAAACATCTATTTATATATTAGTAAATATTTCTGACTAATTTTGAACTAATTATTTGTAATAAATATGTAACATCACCCTTATTTGAAGCAATTAATGAATTATACAGGAACCTAGAAGGAAGAATCAAATGAATAAAAAAGTTAAATAATCACAGGATCCATTTCATTTTTCTGTTCTTGAAGTTATTAAGAGGTGTTAGTAAGCCAAATAAACACTGAGAAAGTTCTAGACAAAGAATATTAAGATTCTTCTTGTTACAAAGTATTTAGTAATTCAGCATTTATGCTATTTTTGTTTTAGCCTTGTATCCATTCAGATTCGAATATCTTGTTAGGCTAGAGTACTTAAACCTAGAATGTACCTACTTGGTCTTGTTACAATTCAGTGTGTGAGATTTTAACCAAGATATATCTTTAAGAAATAGCAGCACATCTTAACTGTACATTTGAAATACTTCCCAGAAACATGATGCCCAATTTACAGTCATCCAGCTGGTGGGGATGCTTCGGGGGATAGCATCTGGCATGAAGTACCTCTCAGATATGGGCTATGTTCACCGAGACCTCGCTGCTAGGAACATTTTGATCAACAGCAATTTGGTGTGTAAGGTTTCTGATTTTGGACTTTCACGCGTTCTAGAAGATGACCCAGAAGCTGCTTACACAACAAGAGTGAGTAACTGAGTTTGTTTTCTCCTTTTATCTCTATTTTCCACTTTGTATTATGTTGATTTGCAAGTAGGTAGAAATCATTCTTCACAATGCTTTGTCATTTATATCTTCTCCAAAAAGAAATTTATTCTTTAACATTTAAATATTGTTACATATCTGGGAAAATAGATGATCACTGTTCATGAGGCTGGTAATGATTTTAATTCTGAAATCCCAATGATTTTATTGCTTTTCTCAAAAAGGCAGCAAAATTCTCACATGTCTGAAGTCTTGATATTTTTATATTTACTATTTTTCCATCATGGTTGAGCCACCTTTAAGTAGATTGGATAAATTATCAGGACTCTCATCCAATTATACATAGTTGTTAAGCATTTTTAAATTAATATCTACATAAGCTACACGTTTGTATTATAAAGATTTCAAAACAAAGCAATAAAAAGGAGAAAAGTCGTCCATAGTTGCGCCACCCACAAAGAACATTTGTAAATTTGTGAGTGAATTTTTCCAGATTTTCCCGCATATATACACACACACATATGCGTGGATACATAATTAGAATAGGATTATTTATAATACCAATGTTTAGCCTTTTTTTCTCTTTAGTAGTATACTACTTGAATACAGCTTATTGTTGATAATCTTTATTTTCATGTTTAGCAGTTTGATGTATTTTAATTTCTGGTCGTAGCATTTTTTTTAACAAACCTCTAATTAGTGGGCAAATTATTATTATATCTAGTTTTTCATTATTTTATACAAATGAGTAAATGATCCACTTGTATTTATAATTGTATGAGTCTGATGATTTACCAACCATGTATTCTTAAAAGTGGATTTTCTGTGTCAAAGAGTTTCTTCTATTTTAAAAGTGCACTTCACTATCCTCATGATACAACTAGACATTATCATTATTTTTAGTATTTAGTTGTTATTGTGAGCAATTACATGTTTCAATTTGTATCCTTTTAATTCAAACTATATTTGATTATTTTGTTATATATTTATTGGCAGGTTCTTTAAAATCTTATTTCTTTAGGTAATTTTTTTTTCATGGCAGGATATTTAAAAAAAGATATAATATTCATTACTTATGATACTATCCAAAGATAACCAGCTTTAACATTTTAATGTTATCCTTTTGAAAAATTTTACACATTTTCATCTGTAAATGATTACCAATTGTGAATATAATCCCCCAAAATAATATCATGCTATACATATATTCATATATAAAATGATTTCCTTTTGTCAATAAATCGAGTATTTTTACATATAAATTTAATGTTGTTTTATAATCCACCCTTTTTAACTTAACATAAAAAACGTAGAAATTTCTAGATAATAGATATGTGTTTACAGAATCATTAGTGTATAGTACTCTATTTTTTCATGTACAGAATTTATTTATCCAAATTACTATTAGACAGAATTTCAATGTTTTGATATTATTAGCAATACTGTGATTTACATTCTGATATATAGTTCATGTCTGTCCATGATTATCTCTTCAATATAATTTTCTAGAATTAAAAAATTGCTGAGTTGAAATACATGCAACTATGTAAGGATTTTGAAGTATGAATCACCCAATTGTTTTCATTATAGTTTGTTATAGATTTTCACTCCTAGTAGCAAGATGCAATATAAAGAAGCCTGTTCCTCCATATTCTCACCAGCTAAGAAAATGGCCTAGTTTTTTAGTCAATTTCTGCTGTTTTCTTCTTGTTTAATTCTAAAAGTTAATTCCTGATTAAAATTTTTTCAAAAAACTTATTCTTTTCTGAAATTACCAATCTCAACAACTCCATTAAGTGACCACCAAGATTGTCACATGGTAGCAATACCACACTCTGAGAAAGAGACCCATATGCCAAACTGCATTTCATCTACAAAAAAAACACCATAGTGATAGAGTCACAGAAATACAGAAACACAATATTCCAGAGATATTCCTACATATGTTGGAAGCCTCCTTATGTCTTCATACATTACACCCTTGTTTGCATTTCCCATTTCCAGTTAGATTCTATAGTGGATTCATTGTCTTCATTAATCTAAGTATTTTTTAAATGTATTGTGCATAAAAATGTTGTATTCCTAGGGATACAGTTCATGAGTTTAAGAACAAGAGACATAAAAGACAATTTTATATCTAGCAGCTAGTTAATTTATAACAGCGACTATGACTACACAGCTCTGAAAACTTTATGGAATTGCAAAACATGGGTAAATATCTTGTGCTTTTTAGTACTCTTTCTCAGATCTCAAGAAAAATTAGTCAGCCAACATTCTGTAGCAAAGCATCATTTTTATGACTAAATTATCATCCCAGAAAACAACATATGCAGCATATTGTCTCCAAAAATGCTTTTTATTCTATTCACTGCTACTCTGCATTCTAAAGATATCTTTCATCACCTTCTGCTGCTATGCACTTTTAACATACTCCATGAAAAGTATCATTCTTGCTGGCATTGTCCTTGTTGTTACAACTTTATCCAAGAAATAGTTCCAGTTTTAATAAAAAATATTTGATAAAAAGGCCTTTATTTGTAATACTCAATTTCTGATAATTCAGTTGGCCTCTAATTCCTATGCCATATCACATTTTTAAATGAGGGCACCCTGTTCTCAATACTGGTCTTGATTTCTAAGGTACTCAAAGAAATGATTTCTCTTGTAGAAACTTGAAAGACCCATCCAAATCTAGACCATCTGCTCCCTGGAGAATTTGGGCTAACTTTCAGAGCTTTGTTTATACTGATTGTTATTTTTCAGGACCAAGGGATCCAGAAGTACAAAAAAAAGAGGTGTTGCTGTGTCAAAATTCCTCTTTAGCATTTATGAAGTGAAAGTACAAAAGGCTATTTGCATTTATGTTTCATTCTTAGAAGATCCTTAAAAACCACACAGACCAAAGGGGCTCATTCACTACCAATGAATAGCTATTTAGTGTTCACTCTCTTTTAGTCTTCCATAATAAGCCTTGTTTGATGCAATAATTTTATAATGTACTCTAAAATATGAAGTATGGTTATAAAGTATTAGGACTGCTATTTTGTTTTTTAAACCAACACACTAAAACAATTAAATGAGTGTCACCATCTTAAGTTGTCTCTAGGGAACTTATAATTACTGCAGGAACACTGCTATTGAACAAAATGTTTTGGGAGTTCCCCTTTTAAAATTATCTTTAAAACTAAAATGTGAATGAATGATACCATCATTCAGAAGTTTTTAAGTATATAGTGTTTTGGGAAGCAGACTTGACTAAGATGAAATCACTGGTTTCAGTAAGCTTATAGTTAATAAATAAGAGAAGTAGCACATTGTTGTATAGTAAAGTCTATTTTTTTTTTTAAACAAAATCAGTATTATCCAGTTTAGACATCCGGCTTATTTATTTGACTTAGCATGCTATAATTACAGTTATTTCAGAAAAACATTTAAGAATGTGGATACCAAGTCATTCTTTTTGAATAAACACATTCTGGTTAATCTGCTTTACCAGTCAAGTTACTTTCGTCACACTTACTTAACACATTTCACCTAGTATCACTTCAATTCAGAAACTAGCATTTGTTTCCTTAATGTATTAAAACTTTCCCAATTGCCTCTGAAAGGTATTGCCTTTATGTGTGTGTTAGAGTGGTTAATTTACTCCTACTGCTGAGCACCCTATGAATAAGTGGTAATCACACTGTCCTGTTCTCCATAGTCCTCCTCAGCTCCTGTAGATTCATGTCTATGGCTGCTTTAATAGAGTCAATCCATCTCAAATTTGATCTTCCTCTTTTCCTTCTGCCCTCTATTTTTCCCAGAATTATTTTCTTCTATAAGGAATCCTGCCTTTTGATGATGTACCTAAAATAGAATAACTTTAGTTTTCTCATTTTTGCCTCCAGTGATGTTTCTGTCTTAATTTGCTCTAGGAGCCACTTGTTCAGCTTTAGCTGTAAGGAATTATGAAAGGCACTTGATTCAGCAACACTGAGTGAATGTATGGTGTCTACCGTTCTCATTTTAAAAACATCTCCGTGGTCTGTAAGGCAGAGTAGAAGAGCAGAATAGAAATTATATGAACTATTTCTATTTAAACTTTTTAAGCTGGATGGAGCATCTGAAGAGTTGAGAAAATGCTTAGTCTTAAAACAATTTAGTAGACATTTCTCTATGTGTTTTTGGTACTGTCTTAAGTGTATTATAAGTTTTTCTTCTTTATATCCTCAATAGTACGTCTGAAAAGACAGAGTCAGCTAAGGTAATAATATGCTCCTTTTTTTTTGTTGTTTTCTCCTTTTTATTAAGATATTAGATAGGAAAACAGAATTAATTTCAATATTCACTTCTTGTTATTTCTCATTTCTCACTACTGTGTTATGCAGAAATTCCAAACACTGACACGTTCCATTATATAATATTATTATTCATTCTGTAACCTTTGTAAAATTCCTCTGTATACTCATGAGGTTTTGAGAATGAGAACAGCTATAATGTTTTATTTAATATTATTATGAAAATAGTAGTTCAATCTTGCAGACCGTCGGAAGTGCTCTTAGTGACACCCAGAAAGCTTGGATGACATCTTGAGAACCTCTGTTATAGATATTTTATCTTTAAAAAATCACCTAAAAATCTGAATAAGTATTTTAGTGTTTATTAAATGATATAGAATCTGTCTTATGACACTGCATGATGTAACATGTTGAAGAAAAGCCTTGAAGCATAACTGCAGCTGCATACGAAAGCTTGCAAATCATCGTGGAAGGCCCAGGGTTTTACTTGGGATGAATGTGATTGGAGCATTTAGCTCTGCAAAAACCATGAAAGAATTTTTAATTGAGAAAAACAAATAAACAAATAAAAAAATGAATTCTCTCTTTTTGGTTTCCCATCATGTTAATTTCAAAGTAGAATTATGACATGTTTCCTCTTTTCTTCACTGCACTACTTATCTTATTTCATTCTAATAGAACCATGATATTACTGGTGAGAAC